AACCCTGAGGATTCTACCTTGGCTTCCCCTTTCCCTGTCACAGCCCAAACCAGCTCCCACCACCTTCTGGGCATCTGTAGCCTTGTCACAGCCGGTCAAGAGAGGGTGCGATGAGTCAAAACTGTCATTATCATCATTATCCCCAAATCTCGGGAACCATCTCTCTCACGACTTCCTGCCCGGGGCCGAATCCTCCAGCCGCATTCTCAGTGGTACTCGATCATAGTCGCAGCCTGCTTACCTGCAGACACACAGCTCTTTCTCCTCCCAGATGTTAAAAAGTCCATCCTTTTACTGAACCAAGGTTTTTTCTCTTGCAGCTTCTCCCCATTTGTCCCCACTCTGCCTCTCTGTGACCCTCACAGAACACGTGTTCCTTTTGCCCCTTGATGGTTTTGCAGAGCTGCACATCCCAGCCTGTCACCGCCACCATCTCTACACCCGCCCTAACCCAGGAGGTCACTGCTCTGGTCCCTGTGGGAGCTTCCCCGGAGCTGCTCCTTTGGGGATCTGTCACTATACTTGTCAGCATCACACCCCCATGACCTGGCGTTTATAGGGTGATGGTCAGGGCTGGAGGCTAGGATCCTGCAGGGGGAAAGCAACTATTCTGGTGATTACAGCCCAATTCTGTCCCAGCTGGCATCCTCCCCTGCCCTGATGGGGACTGATGGCACAGGGGAGGGTAGCCTATGGCTAGGGCAGCCCAAGGCCAGGAGATAGATGTGCATGTGGGATGTGTTCTGGACCCCCTATCAAAATAAACCCAATATCACCTCCTCCATGTGCCCAGCTTGAATTCTGCTCCCTGAGACTAAGGCTCTTTCCCTAATCAGTCATCAAGGAAGCCGGGTTCCAGTTGTTTGTTTCCCTGTCTCCCTCCTCCACTAGACTATGAGTCTCTGGGTTGTTAGAGCCTGGCTCAGGGCCCTGGGCATAGTAGATGCTCCGTGAATGTTGGTTGGATGGATTGACTGAATGTCCCTCCCTGTCCCTTGGCTGGGACGAAGGTGTGAAAAGGCGAGCTGATGCTCATCAGCTTCCCAGAGCGCCCTGGAGGATCAGCGCCCACGCCCCAGCCTCCCTACCCACCCATAATCCCTCTCTCTCAAGCTGTCACGTTTCAAAACCTGCCCTTCCTTCCTGACTTCCTTCCTTCCACACTCAGGTGCCCAGGAGATGGGCGGAGTGTGTGGCCTCTGATCCAGGCAGGCCAACCTGCCACTGGCTCCCTGTGGGACTCAGGCTAAGTCACTTCTTCTCTCTAGGCCTCAGTTTTCTTGTGTGTGAAATGACCCAGAAGGACTATTGGGGTTTGGATAGTCTGTGGTTTGCTGAATCAAGCACCTCTGATACTCCGAGGACTCCTCTTGGTCCCTCCTCACAACACCTGCCCTCCACCCCCAGAGTGCACTGACATGAAGGTTATCACACAGCACGTGGTGGGCACCAGGGAAGAGATGGGAGAGGCAGTGTCCCATCTGGGACCCCTCTGGTTGATAGCACACCTGGGACCCTGAGGACAGTGTCAGCCCCCTGCCCTCCACCCTGGGGATATGTGGGGTGAGCTCCCAGCCCTGAGCTCAAGGCCCATGGACCCGAGGCCTCAAGCTGTGCCCACCAGACACAGGGAAAGAGGGATGATGTGGCAGGAGCATTCTCTCCACCTACTCTATCACCCCAAGCCCCACAGCCCCTCCAGCTTTGCTGCCCTCCTTCCCGTCTCCTCCCACTTTCCTCTCTTGGCCTTCCTTTCCACCCTGCACAGCGACTGGGAGCCTGATTTCAGAGGCACACGCTTGAGTTCAAATGCAGACTTTGTCGCTTGTTGGCTGAGTGACCTGAGGCAAGTGGCTGAATCTCTCTGAACCTCACTTTCCTGGTGAAAACGGGAGTGATGATAGTAGCCACCTCCTCGAGTTGTGAGGATTAAAGGAAACAATTCATATAGGGTACTTAGAACAGTACCTGGCACATATTACGTATTCAGTAAATGTGCATGTTATTAATCATATTATTATCGTCAGTATTTGCACAAGAACTCCTGGCTGCCATTCCAGTGTTCTGCCAATTAATGCCATCCTGAATCTTCCACTTATTGGCTGTGTGGCTCTGGATAAGTTAGTGGCGCCCTCTGAGGTTCAGATTTCCTTCTGGAAAAGTGGCAATAATAATAATACCTTCCTCATAGAGTTTTGGGGAGGAAGAGGCAATGGTTATAAACAGGGCGATGAGAAAATGTGAAAATTTCTCAGTCTGGAAATTCCGAGAGTGAAAGGACAAGCCATTAATGAACACTCCAGGACAACAAGCTTCAGCCAGCACGAGTGGTCCCCCCACTTGTAAGGTCCTCAGCCACAAGCTCCATAGATGGGGGTTTATACCGTCACTCTCACCTCTCCCCAAACCTACCTCCCCTCTCCTGTCCTCTCCACCCAATTCTTACACACATGGTTTTTCTTTTCACTCTCCCCTTTTCATCTCTTCCTTAAATTACTGCGTGGCCCCAAGAGCCTCAGGACATTTTTCAGCTCATCCTGTTCAATCCATCCTATTACTACGGAGAAACAGGTTCAGCCGGGGGAAGAGACTTTCCCAACTGCACGAGGGTCAGCACATCATTTCCCCTGCCCAAGAACCGACAGATCCACAACCACTATGCTGCCATTCAAAGTCCCTCACAATCTGGCCCCGCCTACCACTCCCCTCCCTGCCAATCTCCTCTTCTCCTTTTGGCTCACTTGCTCATTAGCTGGCCCTGGAGATCAGCCTAAGAAAGAGTCCTTGGAGGGAAGGGTCTCCGTGCAGAAGATTGCCTCCCACCCACCCAACTCTTCACCACCCTCCCCACCCCAGCCTAGCTCACCCCAGCTGTTCCTCCTCCTGCCGTTGGATGACACCAAAGAGCTGATGGTGCTCTCCTCCCCAGTTCTCTGTCCCAGCCCCAGGGTTGGCACCCAGTGGGGCCGAGCCCAGGAGGAGGCTCTGCTGAAGCCAGCAACATCTCCCAGACTCTGGACTCGGTGTAATTGGTTTTGAATGGATCCCATTATGACTCTATCCTTAGCATGTATCATGGGCGCCTGACCTCCGCAGCTAAATGATTAATTGGGGAGTTGCCTCTGGGGCCTGCCTGGAGCCACTGCCCAATCTCTCTTTCCTGCCTGGTCCTGTTGGAAGCTGCTGGCCTCCCTCTCACCAGCAGGCAGTGGTCCATCAACTCTAACACAATGTTCCAGCCAGAGCCAACCCTGCACAGAGTATTCTTGATTCTCAGAATTTCTGATCTTAAAGATTATTATAATTCAACAATGGCGAAAGGGTCTCATTGCATTTGCTAACACTGACCAACTGGTAGGGGCTACTTGAAGAACTATATTGGGGAGAATTCTGGGGCTACATCTAGGCTCTGTAGAGAAGAGCTCTGGGGTCAATTAGCAATGTCTGCCATGGACCTTGTGAGGGAAAAGGAGCAGGGGAACAGCACACAGGCCACACACTTTCCATCCTGGAGCTGACGTCTCAGTCATTCACGCACAGATTGCATAGTAGTCTCCTCCTCTGAGGAGTAGGTCCGCAAGAAGCCAGGAAGACCCAGAAGACTGGGGAATTGAATTCAACCTAACTAATAGTCGGTTTATATGCTAAGCATGCTGGATCCAACTCTGACATTTTATAGATGTAGAAATCGAGGGTCCAGAGAGAGGAATGGTCACCCAGCAAATTAGTAACAGACCTGACATTGGAACTCCTCCATCACTGACTTTGCTCCTAGAAGCATCCTTTCTTGGCAATCAAACTTGGTCAAGTTTAAGACTGATAGTATATCAAATACTTAGGGAAGGGGGCCTCTAGGTGAGCCCTAAAGAGCAGATCTGAAGGAAGCAAAGCCAGCCGTCTCTAACCCCGGGCTAGCAGGGAGAACCAACCCCAGCTCTCGAAACAGCAGTTGGGGAGTAAGCTGGGGCAGCAAGGCCTGGGCCTCAGGGAGCAGACCCACCAGCAGGGCCCAGGATACTCAGTAATGATAGGAACTGTCAGGGGGAGTAAGAGAAGGGAGTTCAAACATGACACGGAAATTAAAATACCTGCCTTTGAAAGTCAAAAAATAAACAAGAGTTGACTAATATAATTGTCACGTGATGCCAGACAATTGACAATAGGAGGTACAGAATCAGAAACATCCTTTAAAGACTTGTGAGAGCAGGACCCCTGCTTCTGCTGACTTGCTCATCACTGGACCCCGGCTCCTGGCACAGAGTGGGTGTGAAATACGTAATTGTCTACTAATGGACAGTTTCTCAGGGTGGGAGGGGAATTGCCCCTCACTGTATTGGGGCCACGGGGGGAGGCACATTTTCTGAGTCTACTGGTTACAAGGCCCCACATGAGATACTGTGGGTGGTTCAGCACACTTGGTCTCATTATTCCTCACAGCAGGCCTGTGAGATGATTTGCATTATAGTCCCCATTTTAGGATGGGAAAATGGAGGCACCAAGGGCACATTCTCTTGCTCAAGTTCACACAGCTCTTTTCACATCAGACAGAACTGTTCTTGCCCTCGAGTCTTTGGTATGGGAATTAGAAGAGGATGCAGCCCATGGAGCTTCTTCCTCGCCATTCCCCTGTCCCGCCCCCAATCCCCAACTCTGCCCAGAAAGGCATCTGGATCCATGTAATAACATACACAGGGTACAAGAAAATTTCCATTCTTCTCTTCCTCCCTTTCTGCTCCCCCTCCTCCAGTCCATCCAGGCATGTGGGGAAGGCCCGGCCCCGCCCAGGAAGGCTCTGCAGCGGACTTGCTGGGTGGTCTGGGGCCAGCTCGTTCCCTCTCTGGGCCTCCATGTTCTCATGAACATGAGGGAACACCTCATGGACCATGCAGCCCTAAAATCCTAAGAATCAATGATCCGAGTTTCATTCCACAGACATCCCGTTTCCTGAAGCTCCTCTCAGGGTCCCTTGTGCCCGACGTCTCCAGGCCCTGCCCACTCACCTGCCATGTCTGGGCCGGCCGGCTCCTTGCTTCTCTGCACGGTGGTGTGTGGACTTTCAGGACGGCATGTGGGAGCAGCCAGCCAGACCAGCGCCAACAAGGCAAATCTTGGACACTCCTAGGCAGGGCAGTCAGAAGCGAGGGGAGGCGTGGTCCTTCTCACCCCAGCAGCGACACCTATAAGACGTCTAATCACCCAGTAATTGCCCTGGTTGGCAGAAGAAGGTGCCCGGCATGAGAGCTGTGGGAGAAACTGAGGCCCAGAAAGATGACAAGCCTGGTAAGAAGCAGTGGAGGAAGGAGAGGAAAGTAGGAGGGAACCAGGTTTAGGGTCAGGCATTCTCAGCCCTCACAGCCACCCTCAGATGATAAGATGGAGGCTCAGAGAAGAGACCTTGAAGGTACGTGATTATAAGCTGCAGGGTGAGGATTAGGACCCAGGTCTCACAGCATCCAGATATGTATGGGACTGTCTTCTCCCCTCCTAGATGAGATGAGAAGTTCCGAGAACCACAGTTCTCTCCTCTTTGTGGGCTCCAGAGGCATCTACAGGGGCAAAGGCCCACGGTCCTCTCTGGGGCCATGCCCCCACTGCGCCCCACCCTCCCCTGAGCACCTGCGCATATCCACCAGCGGGCTCGGCCTTGGACGAGGAGCCCTGAGTTTCAGAGGAACAAACCTTAGACTTGCACAGGCCTGTGTTTGAAGGCCAGCTCCTGCCCTTGGTCGCCCTGTGACCCCGGCTAGGTCTGTGGTCCTCCCTGAGCCTTAGTAAAATGAAGATAGTGACCTCTCTTTACAGGGCCACTAAGGGGGTGGTTGGGATGGCTCAAGGACAGAGCCTGGCTGCTCAACGGAGGCTGACTCACCCGTCCTTCCTCTTTTGCCATCACTCAGACCTTGCAATTTGGGAGGACACCCTCAGCCTGATTCCTTGTGGGGTCTTCTGTCCTTTGAACTTCTTGCAGGGCCTCCCTGTGACAACCTAACTGCCAGGAATGATGTTAATCTAGGTTCTTGGGAGGAGGTGAATAAGAAAAAGGGAGGCATGGCTCTCTGGTTCAAAGACTTTGTGAGCCCTCGACTTTGTGAGCTGGCTCCAGCCTGAAGCTTAGAGACCTGGCAGCCCCCTGGTCTCTAAGCCCCCTGGTGCCCCGTGACCTTGGGCAAGACCTCTCCCCTCTCAGAATCCTGCTTCTCCACCTGTGAACTAAAAGGACCAGGCTGAAGTATTCTTAAGGGCCCTTCTAGCCCAAAGTCTAAGATTCCAGAGCTCAAAGACTCTGGACTGCAAAGCTTCTAGATAGAGGGAATTTTATTTTCACGGAACCTGGGAGGGAAGTTTCTCTCTGTTGGGGAATTCCTTGAGGGGGTGACGTGGGGCCATCCGAGGCTGGGTGGGGCTGGGCCAGCGAGGAAAGGGGAGTGGGAGGGGCTAGACTTCCCCAGACGGGGGCAAGGAGGGGCAGGCGGTTGTGTGTGCTGTGTACCCCTGCTCCCTGGGACCCCACCCCACAAGCATTCAGGAAAATGTATAAAACTCCAGGTGTTTGATGTGGTCGAATTTCTTATAGAAAGTGGCATAGGGTTGACTTCTGCTTGCCGGTTTGGTGCAGGGCAAACATCTTTAATGGGCTATCTGCAGGCCTGCATTGCCTTTAATTACTGGCACCTGGCACCGGCCCAGGGCACTCCTTCCCTCTTGCCCTGCAGCCGGCTGCCCTGGTGGCCGGGCAGACCTGGGCCCTACTGAAGCTGCTTTTCTGCCTGCCTCCTCCCCACTAATGACAGTCTCATTCTGGGCCCTTTTATCTTTCATCTTGGGTTTGCCTGGACTGGTGCTCCCAGAAGATGGGGCATTCAAAAGCACCCACTCCAACAATTCCAAACAACAATTCATACTCAAATTTAGGGGAGAGCAGTGTAGTCTGGCAGTAGAACCCTGGGATGAGAGCCAAGAGACTGGACTCTGTTACTTTTGGGCCAAACTGGCTATGTGACCCTTGGCAAGTCACCTACCTTCTCTGGGCCTCAGTGCCTAATAAGGTTGCGGACTAGGTCTTGCTGGTCCCAGCATTGTCTGACTCTAAATGGTCTGGCTAGAGATGGTGGGTGGGAGCTGAAGACCGGAGAAACTCGGGACATTCCGATGTCAGCACCTGGGCCAATGCCCGGCGTGCAGTGGGTGCCTCGCAAATTAGAATCCGAGCCTGTGGAATAAACAGATGCTTTAAAAATAGTTTAATGGTTTTTCTGACTGTAAAGATAATGCCCACTTATGTAGAAAATCCAGACAACATAGAGATAGAAGAAAGTACACGTGCGTATCACTGCAAATATATGTAAATAAATTTACGTAAATCCCATTGTCTGGAGAAGCTGGTTTGTAACCTGCCCTTTGTGCTTAACCACATATCGTGACATATTGTGTTCCCTTTTCAAATCACAGAGTATAGATACGCACTGTCATCAGTAGCAGCATCTCTTGTGTGAATTTACATAATTTAGCTAACCCTTCCCAAATCGATGGGATTTTAGGTTGTTTCATTACTTTAGGCAGTAATGGATTATTCACATGCTTAAGACCAGCAAAATGTGGGCACCAAAAATGATTTTAAAAAATAATTTAAAATAAAAAAAATCAAAGTGATCACCTTGGGGAAAAAATAAGAATTTTGTTGGTTTTTCGTAATTTCAAATGTACTCTTGTTTGAATTATAGGGATTGGGAGGGCACCATGACATTTTCAGGACTCAGGGCATCTCTCTGGCCCTCGGAGAGTGTCAGGGGCAGAGCTATGAACCCATGAGTTTGTGGTCCTCGGACCAGGAGCATCGGCACCCCCTGGGAGCTGGTTAGAAGTGCAGAGTCCTGGGCCCCAGACCCCCTGAGCCAGGATCTGCATTTTAATGGTTTCTCAGGTGATTCGCATGCACCTTAAAGTTTGAGAAGGGCAGCAGTTCTCAACGGGAGGTCCAGGGTCCCCAAGACTCTTTTAAGGAAACTGTGAGGTCAAAACTATTTTCCTAATACTATCAATGCTTTTTTTTTCGGCCTTTCATTATCTCATGAGTGTACAGTGGCATTTTCCAGAGGCCAAATGATATGTGATATTGCAAATACTTGAATGCAAAAGCAGATACAAGAATACGGCTATTTTTCTATTAAGCCTTCTATTTAATTAAAGAGATTTGCAAAAACAAGGTAAAACAATGCCACGCTTACTAATATTATTTTTTGTTTTGGAAAAGGTCATTATTTTTCATAAATATATGTTATTTGTGTTAAGATGCAATGGGTTTATTAGTTTTTAAATGAGTTAGTGAATAAATATTTTGTAAGTTTCTCAGTATTAATTTCCAAATTGATCAATATCCATAGTTATAATCCATATGACCAAGTGCTCTTTGGGATTCTCAATAGTTTTTAAGAGTGTAAAGAGGTCTTGAGACTGAAGTGTTTGAGAACTGGCCTAGAATGTGCTTCATCTCTAGAATTCCAGTTCTGTCTACACAAGAGAAAACCACAGGCTGATCCAGATCACAGGGGTGGGGGCCCAAGGCTGTGGCCTCAAGTAAAGATGAGGTCATGTGCCAGAAAAATCCAGGGGCAGCTGTGCTCTGCAGAGGGCAGCCCATAGAGCCCTCCGGGGCTGGGAACCCTCATTTCCAGAGCCCTGTGGCTCCAGCATCCCCAGGCCTCATGCTGCCCATGGCGAATTCCAAAGTCTGAGCAGCCAGCTGGACATATGATTCCCATGTCCTTGGGCTGGGAGTCACCTACATTGTCTTGAGGATTCAACCTCACAGGACAACGAGTCAGAAGGACCCACCAAAGCTAGACCTGACTGAACTGGTCTGGTGGCAGGCTGTCCCTTCCCCTCTCTGGGACTCTGTTAACCTGGGCTGTAAAATGGAAGATGATACTGCTCCCTTTCCCGCACTGGGCGAAATTATTAGGCAACTAATAAAAGACTGTGAAGCTCTAACTCATCTCTACATCACCTCGTTTTGAGAGTAACAACACGGTGACATAGACAGCATTCAAACTCTGGGAGGGAGGCGCTTGCCCAGCCAGAAGGCAAGTCGCTCTTCTACTGTTGTCAGCAGACCTTGTTATTGTCCACTGTGTGTGGGCCAGAAGCCGTGGGGCAAGCTAGGAGGCTAGAGGCAGCCTCATCCTCACCCCTAGTGTCCAGATGTCACCCTCTTCATCCACCTGCCCATCTATCAAACATCAGGACCTGGAAGCTGCTATGAAGCTACAAAGCGTTCAGAGCTTACTGTGTTCTTGTTTTGGCTGCTCATGATCCTTTCATATACCTTTACACTCATTCTTCATCCAGTCGCTCCTTCTAAAATTCATTCAACAAACACTACTTCGTGTCCACTAAAGGACAAATCACTGTGGAGCCTACAGACTCATCAGGGGTTGCGACACTTTTCCTGTCAATGTCCAGATATCATCTGATTCTAAATCCTCCCCAGTATTCATATTGGTTCACTGATTCTGTAATAGGGATAGAGTTTTCGAAGTATTTTCAGTTGTATTTCCTGTAAATTATGTTGCCCTGGAACGCCTCACCCACTGAATCCAAAAGATTTAGGGCTTTGGGGAAAGGATGGAGGAGGCAAGAACAATGGGCTATTGTCCAGCGTTCGCTGCTAATTGGGTGTTCTGGTTTCTGTTTGTTTTGTTTTGTCCCTCACAAGACCAGGACCTTTAAAGCTAGGCTTTGTGGAGAAAGAGCTTAGTAAGCTCTAAACTTCCAATAACAATCAGGAACCAGGCCTAATGGATTTGACCCTCAAGGTTACTGTAAGCCAGGGCCAGAGATCTCTGGACATACCATTTAAGAGAAATCCTTTCCATCCGGGAAAGTGAAGGAAGTCCACCTCTGCTGATGGTGGGAAGGAGAAGGGAGATGGAAGGAGGAGAAACAGGCAGATTTCTCCACCTGACCTCATCCCTCTGGACCAAATTTCTGGAGAGGCGAAAGGGCACGTGGTGAGGTGTTGGTAGCTACATAGTTTGAGGGAAAAGCCAAAATCAAAGGGTTTTTTGCCAACTAACCTGTGGTGGGAAAAGATCAGAACAGTCATTGCCTTTAGGGGTGAGTGGGGGACAGGGATTGACTGGGAAGGGGCATGAAAGAACTTTCCGACGTGACAATTTGATTGGGGTGATGGTTCCACAGGCATTTGTTAAACTTCAACAAATGTACACTTAAGATTTTATATTTCATTGTATGTGAATTTAACATCCAAGAGAAAAAAAGCTGGAAGCAAATTTCAAACTCTAGTTAATGATAGGCATGCTCAAGTATTTGGGAGGAAGTGTACCAATATCTGTAATTTACTTTGAAATGCACCAGAAGGTAAGTTGGACAGAAGGACAGATGTATGATAAGACCAGTATAGTAAAATGTTATTGGTAGAGTCTACGCAGTGGGTATATGGTATTCTCTATAAAATTCTGTTAAATTTACTGTACGTTTGAAAATTTTCGTAAAAAAATGAAGAAGGGTTTTTGCTCCATGTGGTGTCATTTTGTCTAACTGCCAAGCCTCTTTTGAATGCCCTTGCTATGTTTTGTTAATTTCCAGCCTTAAGAGTCCCAGTATCCAAAGATAGAACACAGAAAACTCAAAGCCCAGCCTCCTTTGCAGCTGGGATACAGGCTTGTGAACTGCACTCAGCAAATCGCACCCAGACTCTAGCACAGAAGTGTGCAATCTGATGACACTCACTCCTTGCACAACTGTGTTTGCTGGCACGGGTGGTGGCAGAGACCAGCTTCTATGGTGCTTATGCTTTTCCAGACATTGCAAGGATGAGTTCCTGCCTCAGAGGTGGTTTTGGCAAGGCAGGGCCAGGAGCATCAGTAGCAGCTGCTGTTTCCTCTTCCGGCCAGTTGTGAGGTTCTGGGTATTACTCCTGGAAGCTGAGTGCTCCTGATGATTCTGTGGGTCCTCCTTATTTTTTAATAAGCTCATTTTCTGTTGAAAACAGCAGTTGCAGAAAGAGGAGGCCTGAGAGGTGGGCCTGAACCAACTCTCTTTTATGTAATGAAGGGATCCAGATGTCCCCACATGCCCCAGGGAAGTGGAGAAGCTGAAAGGTTAGTGGAGGAGGACTTCAGGTTCCAGGTTTGGCATGTAAGGAGCTTGGAAGTCCTCATGCTGTCCCAACAAGAAGTAAACAACTGAAAATCAACAACTCTTCTTAGATATGTCAGAGAAGTGAGGTCACGGGGCAAACCACTTCCCCCCTAGTTGGAGAGACAACCAGATACAGAGAATGACAATTTACAGGAGCAGAAACCCACGAGTAGAAATCTCCATGGGAACCAGTCTGGGATAGGAAAAGCTAAACTGTGACTGACGAATTTCTGGAGGCTCAGTGTGGATAAGACTGAGGTTAAATACTGCAGGTGGCCCAGTCGTAGAGAGACCCATACACTTGTGTGAGTTTTACCTCCAAGAGCCCTACCAGATTCTCACAGTCAATATTGGAGGAAAATTCCCTCCTGCATCAGGCAGGAAGACGGGAAAAGGAACCATTTTGAAATACACTAGAGCATTCTGTTCTTAATGAGGGCTGTCCTTAAGAGAAACTATTTTAGCAGACCCTAACCTACTGGGATTTTATTAGAGCCTAACTCATCTGTGGCAAGGGAAATATCCACTCTAGCCATCCTGATCCACCAAAGGTGGTGGGGGTTGGGGGGGGTGGTACTAAGAAGCACTTGTGAAGGTCACAGCCCAGAGACACAGGCTCACTAAAAGACTGAGACCCAATCACAAGACTATAAAAGGCT